CACTACCATGCTTCACACTGGGTATAGTATTCTTGTCGCTATAGGCCCTGCTGACCCCTCTCCAAACATAGCGCTTACGTTTGTGACCACAAAGCTTTTTTTTGGTCTCGTCACAGCCTGTATTTCTCCTGAGGTCACCTGTGGGTTTTTCTTTGTATCCCTAACAAGTCTTCTGGCAGTTGTGCCTGCAATCTTTCTTGGTCTACCTGACCTTGGCTTGGTAACGAGATCCCCGAATTTTCCGCTTAAGTGAAAGAACAGTACTGACTGACATTTTGAAGGCTTTGGATATCTTTTTATATCCTTTTTTCCATCTTTTATAAAGTTTTTGACAGGTCTTTTCTGCTTCCCATGGCTCAGTATCTAGCCTGTTCAGTGCATCCACATGAGAGCTAACAAACTCATTGACTATTTATACACAGACCCTAATTGCAATTTAAAAGCCAGAGATGTGGGGAATTGCCGTTTTAACATGTGTATGTTACCGTGTGTGTGTCTTTACCAAGGCCAAACATTCCAGGGTATGTAAACTTTTGTTCAGGGCCATTTGTGTGATTTCAGTTATGATTTAAAAAGGAGCCAAACAACTATGTGATATTAATGGCGTCATATGATCGCTATCCTTAAATAAAAGATAGTTTTTTGGCTTGATCAGTCATATTTTCAATATCAATGCCAAAATTTCACAATTTCTGCCAGGGTACGCAAACTTTTGAGCACAAACTTATGTGTACCAGTCCTTACATATATAGTTACTAGGGATGTCCCGATGCCACTTTTTTAAGACCGATACTTTTTCTTCAAGGGACAGGTGACATTTTTTAAAAAAACCATCTGACTCACCTCTGAACTCCATGTCCACAGCTAAACTCTGTAACCCTCATTCAGAGCTCACCTTTGCCCCCTCATTCACAGCTTACCACTATACCCCCTGTCCACAGCTAAACTCTGCTCCCCCTCGCCACAGCTTACCTTTCACACCTCACCTCTTCACCACCCAGCCACAGCTCATCTCTAAATCCCCGTCCACATCTCAGCACTTCTGCCCCCCCCCTCACTCCAGCTCTCCTCTGTACCCACTTCTACAGATCAACAGTGGGTGGAAGCAGCCTGAGCACCCAGGGATGTGGGCATGTGCCCTGGGTGCTTGACGGTACTGATACCCATGGTGCATACACATAGGGACAGTGAGGACCCCTTATCGTGAGCAACTACTGACTGTCTTCTTTGCCATCCCAGCACAGGCCCTTACTCACTCTTGCCTGTTCAATGGAGGTGCCTCACGAGGTGCCGAATGCTTTCTTTTTCCTTTTCGAGGACGTCGGCAGCGCTGAGCGTCGCGTCACTGTTGTGGGCGGAGCTACAGGCGGAGTCCTCTGGGCAGTCGCTGGCCAACCGCATTAGGACCCCACTTGGAGCGCCGCCCACAGCAGTGACGCAACGCTCCTCCAGCCTGCCCAGAGGACGGTAAAAAGGACCCCACGGACGGTAAAAAATGTTTTTAAAAAACAGCGCAAGCTTCGGCGCTAGGCATCGGGCATTTTGACAGGTACAAGTACTTGTCAAAATGCCCTGTATCGGGCCCGATTCCGATGCTAGCATCAGTATCGGGACATCCCTAATAGTTACATAGTATTTGAGGTCGAACAAAGACACATGTCTATCAAGTCCAACCTATTGTGTGTGTGTATGTGTATAGGTCCCTGTGTCATCTCGTTATTAGGAGTACCTGTACCCCTGTATATTACCAAATCCTGGGTAATCTTATACTTTATTGTCCTGGAAGTCCTAGGTAGCAGGTGTTTCCCGATCCCCTATAGGTCGTTATGACTTTTGCCCACCTGCAAAAGCAGGAATTCAGAACCCAATTGATTCTGAATTCATGTATCCTTCAATGAATGATGGAGAAAAAAACAGAACATTTTTGTACTTGAGGTGAAGTCTATTTCTTCGAGTCCATTGAGGGACACAGGTCTCACCCCTGTTTTTTTTTTTTTTTTTTTACCGGCCACTGTTTGCTCACAAAACTGAGGGATGCTGGATACAGGAAGGGTTATGTCTCAACTTCCTCAAGGTGGCAATATAACCTAACTTTCTAAATTCCTGTGTTACTAAATGGACATTAAGAAATAGATCTTACAGTGAGTAAAAAATTCTTATTTTTACCAGTATATATAAGATAGCTTTCTATTATTCATTTTATTTAGAGCATATTTGCCCTTAAACAACTAAATGGCAACTCGGCAGAAATACTGAAGTTTTAAATGATACCTCAGCTCAAGTATTGGGCTAGGCATCGGATCATTTGGGCGAGTAAGAGTACTCGCCTAAATACTCGGCATCAGCACAGATACCGATATTAGTATCGGGATCGGTGCATCCCTAGATACCTCATCTTCAAACTTTATGGTAATTTTTGGATTATGTTGACTTCTGCTCTGCCCTTAGTTTACAATTTTTTTAATGTTTCGAAAGATTTGATAGCCACATAGAAGTTGGTGTATTTCTGCAGTTTTGTCAGATATGCTGGCCACCTTTCTAATTGGCGGCATTGAAGATTTAAGTGGACCTTTACCCCCTTTGACTAAAAATCACATCAGCATACAGCTCTGCATGCTCATATGAAATCATCTTACATTGATTAGCTAAACAAACACATTTTTATTGTACTAATAATTTTTTTCTGCTTCCTGGTTCTCTTTGGCAAAAATTATGTAATGTGCCCAAGCATTGCATCCTGGGAAGGTTACAGAGCAGATCATTGCTGGGAAATCTCATCTGTAATCTGATGAGATCTCGGGGGAAAAGCATTTTCCTCTCCTGAGATTATGTGCATGGTCACATGTCCTACTCACATGTGTCAGAGTTCCAGGAAGTAAAGGGAGATCTAGTAACCTGCCCTTAGTTAAAATGGCCACTGTCACAAGCATGGGGAAGAAAATCAAAATAATGTATTCTAATAAAAACCTGGCAATTATCTAGAAGTATCTGTTTGTAGATTGTCATTTACTAAACATTTCTGAAGTTGTGGTTTTTTGAACATATGGGTAAAGTTCCTTTTGTTTTTGTTTTTGTTTTTCTTCCAACCTAGGCGTTGGGCAGGTTGTCCTGCAGGTTGCTGCAGCCACTGGAGGAAAACATCACTATGGAATAGAAAAAGCTGACATCCCAGCCAAATATGCAGAAGTAAGTGTTTGGCATAAGTAATTTGACTTATCGTAAATAGCCAAAAGCTCTCTTTGCACTATGGCATTTTCACAGCTTGTATTGCCATGATAGTATATACATGGATGTGATGATGTAATCATTTTGGTAATATTATAAACTTCGCCTGAGGTTTAGGGCTTGCCTTAGGTTTTATGTTGGGGTTAAAGTTTAGGTTAAGGGCTTGGGTTTGGAGCTTAAAGTTAGGTTTAATGGTAAGGTGATCATATCAACTAGCCTTTTGAGAAGGATGCCAGCTATAGGTATTTCTATTTCTTTCAAGACAGGTGCTTTTAAATATATGCAGAACACTCGGTAGACACCCGGGGATTAATCTCCTGATTCAGTCATAAAGTTGGCCCTATTACTTGCGTATTGTGTCACATTGTTTGGCAAAATAAGGAAAAAGTAGTAGTAAAAGAACTCAAGGCCAGCCCCTTGAGGCCATAACCCTTATTTAAAGATCATTGCTTTGTCTTTTGTGTTGCATTTTTTTATTTTTTTTTAGAGGCAGCAGGGAGGTAGGGACAGAATGTGCTACAGATGCCTTTTATACATCAGTGAAGTACAAGACGGATTAAGTTTGTGCGTGTGTTAGTGATGGTATACTCAGGAGTTAAATCATAAAAATGCATTCAAGTACCCCAACTATTAACAAAACTGTATCTCCTTCCGGAGGGTGAATAGTTTTTGTTACCTGTGTGTGTTGTAAAGTAGCCACCGCTTCAAGCTCGATGCTGTGATGGACTACAATATCACGTTTTGTTTATTAATTTGTGGTGAGATTGTAGTCTACCATAGCAGTGAGCTTGGAGCAGTGGCTACTTTACAACACACACAGGGACCATGGGGAACAGAAGTAGCCAGAAGGAAGGACAGTGTCCGCACCAATTCAGAGATGATTTGAGGATCTATAGCTGAGTGATACACAAGTTATATTTTGGTTTATAGTTAGGGTACTTTAAGGCCTAATGCAACACAACCCACTATGAAAGGTACATGAAACAAGTTTTGCCAATGTAGTCAGCACACCACAATGAACAGCAGTTCATAGAGTACTTTGTGGTGCATTGAAAATGCAGTTGTGTTTGGATGGGGTGACATCTGTAGTGCACCAGCAAATACAATGTACGTTTCTGCACATTGCTTTAATGTGCACGTTCCAGCAACACAGCAGTGTGAATCAAGTGCATGAAAAATACTTTGTGTACACATACACACACTTTGGTGTTGTATTTATGTACATCCTAAGGGTGTACCTAATGCACCACACAAAAAAAGGTGCATGCTCAGTTTTTAGCAATACATTACTATGCCTTGCGGTGCATGGCATTAGAATGAATGATGCCAGAAGGCAGAAATTTGCATTATCGTAAAAGCAGCAATGTGAATCTGACCTAAGGGATGCTTGTTTTGGTCATGAAGTTCCACAGGCAGCAGTGTAGTTCTTGCTTGTGAGGAATTTTATTTTTTCCCCACCCCTCAGGCACTGCTTTGAGACATCCCAAGCTTTGCACATTATCCAAGCTTTAGTTGGGGAATATCATTGAAGTAATTTTGCCGCTCTTAATGCAGTGACTGTACACTTTTTGAAACAATTTTACTTTTTGCATTCATACTGTGGTTGGCATGAGTGGAAAATCTGTAGTTTTGTTTTTTCTGTTTACATTTTCAAATTTCAGAAATATGAAAGAGTTAGGCACTGTCCTCATACTGAAGATAATAGGTTTTTTTGTATGTACCGTAAAATCATTTTCTTTACGTCCATTGAGAGACAGATTAGTTCAGATAGTGTTGGTTTATACTGCCACCTAAAAGGGAATTAGACAGTTGCAGACAAAATTGTATGCCAGCCCCAGGATAACCCCTCCTCTTCTCAGCATGCTCCAGTTTGTAGCAAGCAGTACCAAGAGCATCAACACCTATATCCCACAATGAACTCCCAAAAAAGGATTTTAGGCGGTATCTAAAAATACCAATTTCTTTCATGTCTATTGAGAGGAATTCAGAGACTGTCAAACCTGTTCAGGTGATAAAAGACCAGCCAGTCTGTCTGATAAAGAGGGTCACCGGATTCCAGTTTGCAGGCATCTGTTCCCTCAGAGGATGTCCAGTAGATGTCTCTGACATGGCCTGGGATCAACTGTAGCAGCAGGATTTTCCCATCTGTTCCCATGTGCAGACATGTTACTCGCAAACCCAGGCTGCGGGTGCTGATGAGGATTGAGGTGACCGGACCAAATCTCATTATAGGGAGGCAGTAGAAACAGACTGGTGTTCTACGAGCTGCTTGTAAAGCAGGATCAGCAGTGGGATGGTGCTTTCTCTATGCTGAATAGTGCGTAGGAGAACACATACATGCAATATTACACAAAGAGGATGACATCGGCTCAGTCCCTCGATGTTCAACTTTATGTGGAAAAACTGGCAGTAACGAGAAATTTGAAATGCGTTACAAAGGTGCAATTGCGAGGAAGCTCCAAGAGCTTCACCCAAAAGAGTCTTCTGAGACAGGGTCAAGCGCTGAGGCAGTGCCACAGCTCTGACCTTGAAAGCACACTGGCTAACTTTTACAGGCACACAAAAGAACCGGAAAGCACCACAATTCAGAACCCAGTGTCCACATTTCAGACTAACCCCGCACCTCCAGTCAAGCAGGGTTCGGGTGAAGCACTACAAAGTCAGGTGTAGTAGAAAGCTGATCTGGATAGCTACAATGTAGAGACCCGCTCAAGCAGCAATTTGGCAAGGAATGCTGATTGACATCAAAGAAAGAAGCCAAGGAGAAGATAAGTGAAGTCTCTCAATGGACGAGAAAGAAAATTGTATATCACTGATGAGGAGTTTAGCATCCCATTGTAAAATGAATTCAAACACCGACAGACTCATATAGAGACTTCTTTTTTTTTTTTTTTTTATATATATAAAAAGAGACGCCCGCAAAACTGGG